TTTTTTTTGATTGTATGCCATATAGGGAGAATTTGGGAGAGGGAAGGCACAAGCTCCCACCCTGTGTGGATTCTACAGAAGGAAGCAAGTTCTTTGGCCTGTCGCAGTTGGGTACGTGCAAGGCAGTTCTGCAGTCAGAATTCCCATTATACCTTGTGGCAGGATTGCACTTGGTGGTTACAAACAGGTGCTAATGCGGTTGAAGTGTTTCAAATTGCCATGCCAGTCTTCCAGGGAAGGAGGTGCAGTCTGTTGTGATTTATCTGTAAAATTAAAAGACAATTTGTGTCTTAGATTTCCCTCTGGTTTAGGTATTACTTCCCAAATAGATGGTTTCTGTTTCAAAATCTTGCTTCAATAGGAACATGTTTTAAGTGTGCAGCAAAATAGCAATATGCAAAACTTTAAGGCGTTCCTGATATCCTTTTTCTGAGATGCAGGAAAATTCATCTGAAGTAATAATGCAATAATTTTATAGGTGTATCTATTGGTATTGTTTTAAACAGTAGCTTAGCCAAGTGTCTATCATTTATCTTAGTCATGTGTCAGAGTTGCTCAAGGGCCTTGGATTTTGTTTCATTTTTGTTTTCATTTGGGTTTTGTTAGGTAAAAAGGAAACCTTACCCTTCTGAATCTCTTAAAGATAAATTACTCTCTAAAGTTGCCTCTTATTCTTTGTGGACTATAGAGGATACCCAGAAAACTAGTTCAGCATTGACATATTTTTTGGATAGTAAGAACCAAGTAAGATAAATAGCGTGCTCCCTGTAGAAATCATGCTGTCAACAACAAAGACAACAAAACTAGGAATGTACTAATGAGAAAGTGTTGAATATAAATCAGCAGTTTATCTGATTATAGTTGGCTGGGCATTTCATCTCTACATCATGAACGTGAATTAGAAGTTCTGTGTTTTATGTGAAGAGGATTGCTTATTTCTTTCTCAGTGTTGTAGGGACAAGATCATAATTTATTCTTATCTTAAGTATCTTCTTATTGATTGGTGGTGTCTGGCCAGTGCCATGAGTATCCATGACTATAGAACAGAGTAGTTCAGTTTGAAGCGACCTATAGTGCTAATCCACTCCAGCTGCCTGACAACTTAAGGGCTGACCAAAAGCTGAGACATTGCTTTTGTCTAGGGACAAAAAGGGACAAACTAGGGACATTGTTCAAATGCCTCTTAAACACTGACAGGCACAGGACATCAGCCACCTCTCTAGGAAGGCAGTTAGTCAAATGAGCTGAAGTCTAGTGCTGAGTGCTTTTCTGATTGTCATAAACTACTAGGATTAGTGTTTTATTGTGTGTATTTATGTATATGTAGCCTGCTTCACCACAAGAAAATGGCTTTATCCTGTTGTTTCCCCCACAACTCATTTCCAAATGCCTATAAAAAGATGACTCGAGAGTTCAAAAAATACTAAAATCTGTTGAAATGGAACATTATTAAAAATGTAAAACTAAGGGTTATGCTACAGGTATTTCCTTTTAGTTCTGTGTATTTCTTTACTACTTTTTCTGATAAATCTTCTGGAATCTTTTTTGATATTCCATTCCTGTGTGTTGCCTAATGGATATCTACCCAGTTCCTATGTACATTTAATTATTTTTTATTTTGACTGATAGTTGGTTGCCTCTGGTCTCCCAATGTCTTTGCATTCAGAAAATAAAGCTTCTTTTACATGATGAAGTATTAATTAATTATATAAATATATAATTATATATTATATAATGATATATACTATGTAAATATGACATTACGAAAATATAGAATATATTATTAAATATATATTATATATTATATATAATTATATGTATAATTAATAACTTTATAAATAATTATATATTGCAGCATAAATTAATATTGCAAATATTCTAATCATTACTTAGTAGGAGGGAGCATACAAAGACTAAGAGCCCCTCTTCATCTTTTCCCTTTATCTGGGAACAGTGATCAGAGACATTTATTCTATCTGTTATCTTGTTTTCCCTTGCACATACAGATTTATACTTTATTTTTATTTAAAGGCTCAGAACATTATTTGTAGCTGGTGAGCACTGTGATGTGGACACGCTAAAATGGTCAAAAGAAGTTTTCAAGGTACCTGTCTTGGACCACTGGTGGCAAACTGGTGAGTGTTTTAAAATACTGTTTGTAAAATAGAGTGAGGAGAGATTTTCAGGCTTGTTTCCTGACTCTGCAAGTAGAACTGTTATTTCTTTCCATGAAAACTTAAATAGGCAGGATCAAGTGTGAAAATAAAAAATTTAAGCAGGAGGAATGTTTTTTGGAAATGGTCTGAGAAGTGACTTCAGGATACATTTAGAACACAGCATTTTTAAAATCTATATAGAAAAAAGGTATTTTCTGATATCTGTGTTTAAAACAAAGGGTTGCATCAATATTTTTTCTGGATGTATTTTATGTGTGACTGTTTTGACAGAAAGTTTGCTATTTAAGGCTTAGCTTAAGTTTTTTCCACATAGATTTTGTGTAATTAAAAGTGAACAATCTGCAGCAGAGTAGACTCCCTGCTCTTTAAATATTGTTCTTTATGGATGTCATCCAACTTCTAGTGATTATTTTGGAGTGTCTCCCATTTATTTCACTGGAGGAGGATTAGGTACTTAGACTGCAGTGAAGGAATCAGGGTACCAATCTATGTGTAACTTTGCAAAAATCCCAATTGAATTCTGGATTAAGGCTTGATCAAATGTATTTATAACTAAGGAATCATGTATTTTTAAATTTTACTATTACAAGATAGGATTTGGATTTTGCTTCTTACACACATTATTGCTATTTAAATAAAGGAAATGTATTCCAGCAGCTTTGTGGTTTCTCTGTGTCTCTCTCTCTCTGAAGTAAAATCTTCTGAGGTTCTCCCATGACGGATCAGATAGCAGATATATAAGATTAGAGTAAAAGTGGAAAACTATTTAGTTTGTCTATCTATTATATAATTAAATCAGTTGAGGAGGCTTAAAATGCCTAATCTCCCTAAATATCCCTAAATGTCCCTAACATTGCGACACTCCCCATCCCAATCTTACATAAATACTGAAAAAATACAGGAAGATAGTAGTACCATTTTTTATTTCATCTTGATTTAATCTGCTAATTAACTGATTAATATGATAGATGAGACATATTTTGCTCAGTTCTCTATGATCCTAATGTTTTTAGGCAAAAGCAGGCCTGAGTGATGCAAAATGAACAATATTCTGAAAAAGATTAAAAAATGAAATAATGTCTTTACTGAACTGTCAGTAAGCGATATTACTGTATTTGATTTTATCTATGTTTATGCAGATACATAGATATATAGAAATCGCCTATAGCTTTGGCATATATATTTAGTGCAAGAGTTCCATGTTACTGCATTCATTCAGACACGGAACCTTCACAGACCTTCACAGAATATTTTGAGTTGGAAGGGACCCACAAGGACCAGTGAGTCCAACTCTTAAGTGAATGGCCTGTATGGCGATCAAACCCAAAACCTTGTTGTTATTAGCACCATGCTCTGATCAACTGAGCTAATCTCAGGGTATCTCAAGTATCAAAAGTATCAATGACAGATCCTAAAACAAGCATGTGGATGTAATAGTACCCATAGTGTGTTCAGGTAAAACTGTGTTTGAGAGATTTTTCAAAGACGAACAAGAACCCAGCCCAGAGTAAAGTGTGTTTCTTGATTTTTATATTCATGGCATGCTCTTAAATTAAATTGTAGCAGCACTTAATGAGCTAAGGCCATTTCAGATACATTGTCTGAGAGCATTTAATAATTTGACTAGAAAGAAGACCCAAGTGACTTCTGTAGGAATGTGAGCTGTTGAATATAAGCAAGGCCTTCAGCAGGAAAAAACTTACTAAGTCAGATTTCTTATCATAGAACTGAATTTCAAGGGATAAGGAGAAAGAAGAAAGAAAGAATCTCAGAGTCATTGAGGTTGAGTCCTGAGATTGTTTAGTTAACCCCCCCTGCTCAAGCAGTGTCAGAGAGAGCATTGCCCAGGATCCTGTCCAGTTTTGATTATCTCTATGGATAGGGATTCCCCAAGCTCTCTGGCCAGCCTGTGCCAGTATTTGATTGCCCTCATAGTAAAAACATATTTTCTTGAGCTCAGATGGAATATTCTGTTTTAATTTGTGCCTGTTTCCTCTTGTCCTGTAAGTGGTCCTTGGCCCACTGACTGCTGCTTCTTCAATGTGTTTAAATACTGGATGCCTCCCATCCAGTATTTAAACACATTAATAACATTTCCTCTGAACCTTCTCCAGACGGAGTAGTCCTAGCTCTCTCACCCTCTGTGTATAAAAAATTTCTCTTTCCTTGGCTGTTCACTGGATTCTTTCCAATAGCTGCATCTCTTGTACCGGAAAACCCATAACTGGCCCTGTGGAGTGGATAGGGGTCACAGAATAGATATGACTGGAAGGGACCTCCAGAGATCATCTCGTTGAATTCCCTATCAAGGCAGGGGCACCTAGGGCAGATTACATAGGAACATGTCCAAGTGGGTTTTGAATGTCTCCAGAGGGAGACTCCATGACCTCTCTGGGCAGCCTGTTCCAATGCTCTGCCACTTTCAATGTGAAGTTCTTCCTCATATTGAGGCAGAACTTCTTGTGGTTTAGTTTATGGCCATTGCTCCTTGTTGTGTCTCTGAGCACAACTGAAAAGAGTCGGCACCATCCTCTTGACACCGACCTTTGAGATATTTATATGTGTTGGTGAGATCCCCTCTCAATCTTCTCTACACTGAACAGGCCCAGCTTCAGCATCTCCTCATAAGAGGGATGTTCCGTTATCTTTGTGTCCCTCTAGTAGCTCCTTATCTTTCTTTAACTGTGGAGACCAGAATTGAACACAGTACTCCAGATGTGGCCTCACTATGGCAGAGTAGAGGGGGAGGATCACCTCTGGCCACACTCTTTCCAAGGCACCCCAGGATACCATTTGCCTTCCCAGCCACAAGGACACACTGCTGGCTCATGGTCAACTTGTCATCCTCCAAGACTCCCAGGTCATTCTCTGCAGACCTGCTCTCTAGTAGGTCAGCTCCCAACCTGTTACCAGCACTGCGGTTTTTTTTTGCCCACATGCAGGACCCTACACTTGCATTGAACCTTATTAGTTTCCTTTTTGCCCAACTCTCCAGCCTACAAAGGTCCTGCTGAATGGCAGCACAGCCTTCAGGTGTATCATCCACTCCCCGCAACTTTGTATCATCAGCAAACTTGCTTAGGGTGTATTCTATCCCTTTTTCCATATTGTTGATAAATAAGTTGAATAAGACTGGAAGGATCGTCTCCCTCAACCTTGATGACAATATTCTTCCTTTTGCAGCCCAGGATGCTGTTGGCCTTCTTTGCTGTGAGGAAGCATTGCTACCTTGTGGTCATCTTGCTGTCCAGTAGGATCCTAAGGTCATTCTCTGCAGATTGTACTCTTTCCAGCTTGCTGGTCCCCAGTGTGTAGTGGTGCCTGAGGTTGTTTCTCTCCAGGTGCCAGACTTTGCGTTTCTCTCTGCCTAACTTTATGAGGTTCCTGTTGACCTGTTTCTCCAGCCTGTTGAGATACCTCTAAATGGCAGAACATCCATCTGATAAATCAGCCCCTTCTCCTGGTTTTACATCTTCTGCACACTGGCTCAGGGCACAGTATTTCCCTGGATAATATGTCCAGGTAATTAATGGACAAGTTAAGTAGTATTGGCCTCATTATCAACCTCTGGAGTACACCACTAATGATTTGCCTTCAACGGGTCTTTGTACCATCAGTCAGTGGACAGTTTACTGTACATTTATCTAACCCATACTTTGTCACCTTATCTGAGAACATTACAGAAAGTCACGTCAAAAAACTTACCAAGGTGGAGGTAAACAACATGCACTGCTCTCCCCTCATCCAAAAAGCTAGTCACCATATTGTAGAGGGCAATCAGGTTGATTATGTTCTATTTCCCCTTCATAAATCTGTGCTTGCTACTTCTGATCACCTTATTGTCCTCTGTGTGTTTGGAATTGCTTTCCATACTTGATCACCATCCCAGGGACTGAGGTGAGGATGACCAGCCTGTAGTTCCCTGAATCTTCCTTTTTGTCGTTCTTGACAAGAGGACTGACATTTGTTCTCTTCTAGTCATCAAGCACTTCTTCCAGTCACCATGACCTTTGTAAGGTAATAGAGAGTGGCACTGCAATGACATCAGGCACCTCAGCTCTCTCAGCACTTATAGGTGCAACTCAGGAGGTCCTACGTAGTTATGTATGTACAGTTTGTTTAAGTGCTCCCTAACCTAGTCTTCTTTCACCAAGGGTAAGGCTTTATTTCTCCTGACTTCCTTTGGTCCTGGTGATCTGGGAATCCTGAAAGTCAAACTTAGCAGATTAGACTGAGGTGAGGAAGGCATTCAGTACCTCAGCCTTTTCTGTGCCCTTTGCTGCCAGATCACGTCCTGTTGAGCAGCAGGATTGTGTTTTCTGTCTGTTTCCTTTTGCTGTTTCCTTTCTTTTTGTCATTCATGTCCTTTGCAAGATTCCACTTCATGCAAGTCTTGGCTTTCCTAACCCCATCCTGCTCAATTAGACAGCATCTTTAAAGTCCTTATGGATCATTCTGCTTCTACTTCCACCTCGTTACTTCCTTTCTGCTCAATCAGAAACTCCTTGCTCATCAATTTGGGCCTTCTGCCTTTGATTTCCTATTTGTCAGGATGAACTTCTATTGAGCTTTAGGAAATGACCCTTGCATAGGAAAAAGTGCTTAATAGAATACAAGCTAATAAAGTAGATCTGTATAATTTTTAAAATAGAGAACAGTCAGGTCTGGTAAGTGAGATGAAATAGAGATGCTTCTGCCCACACTGTCATGTTTCCCTGGACTTCCCTTGAGATTAACATGCTCAAATGCTGGGGAGAAGGTTGTCCTCCTCCCTCTGAAATGCTTCTCATATTCTGGAGCACAGCAGCCAGGGCAGCAGGGGAAAGCAGCCTTCCCTTCTGATGTTTACTCAGCCCATTTCCAGCAGAATACAAAATGTATCCCATTAACTGAAAAAAAAAAACCAATCCTGTCACATTCGTCTGTGTCTGTCACTTGGCAAAAAGTTGAAAGGGTAT